ATATCTTCGTCGGAGCTGCCGGACGGATGAAAAATCCGAAGTTTTTCCAAACCATGCTGTTTCTGCATTCATCTGGTTATTTTGACCTGCTTCCAGCGAGCCTGGTATTTTGCCACTATAGACACTGAAGCAAGTTCTGCCAATTTCTGATATGCTGCTGGTGCCGTCGAAATACTGAAAATGCCGTTATTCAATTCTCCGACTTTGGGTGGCTATATCTCTGTGCTAAGTTATTCTTTTTGCTTCAAATTTTCTGTGGAGTCTTCCTAAACCTATCTGAATCAGATACAAAAAAGAAATACGCGTATTTCTCGTTTTGAAAAAATCGCCTGAAGTGCCTACTACGAGGCGCAAGCCAACAGCCTTCCAACTTGCAAGGCTCAGATTAGGAAAGGTCTAAAAAGGGGGGGGGGGGGAGGGGGATGAAACGCAACGAAGATGAGCACGAGCTATGTCACGGTTCTACATCTTCGGATCTTTCCTAACCTGAGCCTTCCAAGTGGGAAGGTTGTTCACTTGTGCCGCGTGGATGTGTTGGAGCTAGGTGTCAGGTTGTCGAATGTCTCAGTACTTGCTGTCAGTTGTGTGCCTTGTTGTCGCACTTGCTGACTGTAGATGATCTAGTCACTTCGGTGGACACTGGACAGTTTGGTCATAACTCGCAACATTTGGTCCTTCCTTCATTTATCCATAACATCCGAGTTCAGATAAATGTATTCTGTATTCATATGCTGCATTCTATGTACGTTCGTTAACAAGTCTGGACGGAATTTAGACTTTAAAAAGCTCGAGAGGTAGCGCTTTGATTCGTGGAGCGGCATTTCGGCACAAACTATGATGCTTGCGGTCTAGCCATGTCCACATTGTTGATGAAGAGTGTTTCCGTCAGCAGTCAACAATTCAGACAAGGCTAGACCGCAGGAATAACAATGTAAAGAACAGAGACATTGGCTTCCACAATGTTTTCTTGTTACAATCTCGCCACTGGAGGTTTTTCATGCACGAGAAGCAACCAAAACAACAAACGTATTTTCGAAACAGGGAATCTTTACACCTAAGGCTACACATATAAGTTGAGCGGGTAAAAACAGCACAGCCTAGAAAACAGCCTTTAAAAGCGTGAACTACTTTTAAGTTGTGTGTGTGAGGTAGTGGCAAAATGGATAGGCTAGTGCAGTGGCGTAGCAGCCGGTCCGGCCGGTCCGGATTTGGCCGGACCACTTTTTCGCCCAGAAGTGCCCAGAAGTGCCCAGAATGCAGGATTTTGCACCCTAATTTCAAAAATTACACTGGGACACCCCCAGACCCCCTCCAACCGGATCACCTCCAATGGCGTTGCTACGCATCTGTAGTGTAAGAACTGTGTATGCTTGAAAGTGGTTACGTGTGCACATCACCTGAAGAGTGTGAGTGATGTTACATTTTCTTCCTGTTTACATAGAACCAGATCAAGGATCAAGGCGCAGACGCAGCTCCCGAAGTGGTCAGGGGCAAGCAGGCTAGGCCCACCACAAAGTGGTCAAAGACAGAAATTCCCATTCGCAGCATCCATGTTTCCCTCTGACTAGGCTCCGAGTTCCCAGTTAAAAGTATGATTTTATGTAGACTGCTTCTAGCATTCGCAAGTGTTTTTATATTTAGTTATTTGCACACTGGATCACGGCGGCAATTTACCTAGAATCGTCAAAATTTTGAACAGCTTTCGACCCTACGGACCAGACACAAAATACTTGGAACACTTCTTCTTTTCGACATCAAACACCTTGTCAACCCCATTCCTATCCGCTACCTCCTTCCCATCGTTTCTCTCCTTCTCATTACTCTTTATTCTCATCATAACCAGGTTTGAGTCCTCCTTGGCTAATGCTCCTTGGCTAGCGGTTATCCTAATACTTCTTTGGGGCACTCAATAGAATGGTAGGAAGAGAAGCAGATGAAAATGAAACTGAACTGAGAACTAGTAAGCTAATGGAAGTGTAGCTCGCACAGGTAGAAGATTTACCGGTAGGATATGGAAAGCACAACGATAGATGCCAATGTTTGATGTCGAAAAGAAGAAGTCCAAGCATTACGTGTCTGGTCCGGAGTGTTATACGATAATTGATGAGTCCAGGTTCAGTATCATCCTATGTGCACACGACGTGTTCAAAAGCAGTTGCATGCGCTAGAAGTGGTCTACATGCCCGTACATACACATGACCCTGTTCTATGGTTTGTGTGAGACCCAATCAGACTGCTGTTTCCGCATTCTCAGGATCTCCACCACCCCCTCAAGGATCGGGGCCCACAGTAACCAGGGAACTCGTGCCCAGGCCAGCCTCAGGGAAACATGGATGCAGCAGATGAGACTTTCTGTCTTTGATCACTTTGCGACGGGTCGGATCTAATTACCGCTCAACACTGTAGGGGCTGCATCTGCGCCTTGGTCCTTGAACCTGTTCTATGCAGGCAAAAAGGAAATGTAACATCACTCGCACTTTTCAAGTGATATGCATACATCACTGCTTCTATGCATACACAATTCTTATGCTAGCATATCCATTCTGCTACTACATTACACACACTAAAGTACAAACATTATTAAAAAGGCTTTTTTGGGGGGGGGGGGGGGCTGTGCTGTTCTTTTGTTACCTGCTGTATTCACTATATGTGTTGCCCTAGGTGTAATGGACTCCCTGTTCTAAATATATCTTGATTGTTTTGGTTACTCCTCACCACGCAACAAACTTCCAGTGATCGGACACAATTTCGCGCTCATTATAAACAGCATATATCTGCCTGCACAAGTCGCTTCACTAGTATATAAATCAAGGATCATTTTCACTGTTGGCATCTGGGTGGGGAAACTAGCGCTTGAATGATCAGCACAATGGTGTACTGCATTGGTAAGCACAGATGTTACGGAGATGGGCATGATGGATAGAATTGTGACATGCTGCACACAGGCCGGGTAGGACGTGAGGTGCAGTGCTGAACCTACGCACATGTGTGTAACTGGGTGGGATAATTGGTTAGAGATAAACGTGTTCATAGATAAATAAAGGAAGAAACAAATGTTAGGAGATATGACCAACTGTCCACTAATGTAACCAGATCATATACAGTCAGCAAGTGCAACAACAAGGCACAAAACTGACAGCAAGTACTGAGACATTCGACAACCTGACACCTAGCTCCAACACATCTACGAGGCGCAAGCCAACAGCCTTCCAACTTGCAAGGCTCAGATTAGGAAAGGTCTAAAAAGGGGGGGGGGGGGGGATGAAACGCAACGAAGATGAGCACGAGCTATGTCACGGTTCTACATCTTCGGATCTTTCCTAACCTGAGCCTTCCAAGTGGGAAGGTTGTTCGCTTGTGCCTCGTGGATGTGTTGGAGCTAGGTGTCAGGTTGTCGAATGTCTCAGTACTTGCTGTCAGTTGTGTGCCTTGTTGTCGCACTTGCTGACTGTAGATGATCTAGTCACTTCGGTGGACACTGGACAGTTTGGTCATAACTCGCAACATTTGGTCCTTCCTTCATTTATCCATGATAACATTGGCTCAACATCCGAGTTCAGATAAATGTATTCTGTATTCATATGCTGCATTCTATGTACGTTCGTTAACAAGTCTGGACGGAATTTAGACTTTAAAAAGCTCGAGAGGTAGCGCTTTGATTCGTGGAGCGGCATTTCGGCACAAACTATGATGCTTGCGGTCTAGCCATGTCCACATTGTTGATGAAGAGTGTTTCCGTCAGCAGTCAACAATTCAGACAAGGCCAGATCAAGCTACACATTCCACCCAGGTGCAAACATGTGCACAGGCTCAGACGAGAACCTTACTTCCTACCCCTGTGTGCACCATGCTACAGTACTATCCATCATGCCTATCTTTGTAACATTAGTGCTTACCACAGCATGTAGATCTACACCATAGAACAGATCATTCATGAACTAGATTCCCGCCCAGGTGCCAAGGGAGTTGCATTCTATGTCGGATATAGCCCACAGTACATACTCTGCTGAGCATAGTCTTCTGGTGATTGTGTCGTAACAATGAACCCCGAGTAGCAACGGACAGATCCGGACATTTTGTTTAAGTTGGACAGTAGCGTGTTACACCAGTTAGATGTCCCACGAGTGCCACACAGCTGAGACGTTATACAGAAGGGTTTTATACGGACCCAAACTGGCTACGTGACTACTCGCCGAATTGTCCACAGTGGTTCTCGTTGGTCTGGTTAGAAAGGGGGGGGGGGGGTCTCAGAGAGTTAAACCTTCCCGCAATATTCCCTCTCCCGTCTTCTCCCTGCGAGCACCAAATGTCAACGTCGGCACCCACCTAGCTGCCGCATGCGAAACATGAAAACAACCAGTTGCTGTGTTGGTCACTCGCGGGAAGCATTCCTTTCCCCCCAAACAGTCCATGCCCGAAACATGTTCTTGGTGACGCACGTATGGGTGGCATGATTATTATCAAGCAACGCCCAGACAGCGCAGCCAAGTGTCTACCAAGTGTTGTTTTCAGCCCTTCATAGCATGTTACAAGCATGTCAGCTATCGCTGCCAGCGACCCGCAGCGTCTTCAGGGCTTCGCGGTGAAGTTTGAAGATATGCCACGGATCATGCACGATAGACACATGCAGCTCCATGCAGCCCCGGTCGGAAAGGCCGAGGCGCGCTGGGAGGGCTGCCTTCGAGGGGCGACGGGCGACAAGGGCAACACGGTTTGGCATGCAAGCGAACCCAATGCCGGTCAAGTCGCTCGGGCGCGGAACTTCGGAGTTGAAACTAACGAGCCTGAACCGGAGTGGCCTTCCCGGCTTTCCCCGTCGTCCTACGGAGGGACCCGCTTGCCTCCGACAATAGTTCCGACAATCCGACGAAAGGTGATGAAGTCTTGAAGGGCCGCGGCCATCAAGCACAGAAACAACGGTGGCAAAACAGAGCGACTAAATATTTAAACAAGCTCAGGCGAAACGGGGTTCAGGACACATCAATAAAAGCTGGACATACCTTCGTTTGTTGGAGCTTCGAGGTGGTCCGAGTTCGGCTTCTCCGCCGCGTCACTTGCCGACAACTATGATCCCAAGAAAGGCAGCAATTTCTCGTTGGAGTGGACCCGAGAGTCCGCTTGTACAGCTGTTCTGGAGCAGTGGCCCCGGCGAACCTGGAAATCAGAAGTAGAATCACAGGAAAGATAAGAGGCTGGAAACTGAAATAAGTATTACATCTTCAAGGACAATATTCTCCATTCCTTCCAAAGTCTTCCAACTGAACACGGGAACAGTTGATCACTTACAATGTAAGAAAGAGTAGGTCTGCTCGGCACTAGTTCTAGATGATGGTCACTAACGAAAGCAAACTTCAGAGCTCAGAAGCCAAGACTGGAGCGGAAGAAAGATTCTGAACTCTCCGTCTCCGAGCGTATTCCCGACAAACTCAAACTCCACTACACACAGCTACTACTAGCTAGCTCACTTGCAACACAGAACTAACTGTTTGTTACTTCAGTCGGAGTCTGAACAGTAGGTGCTGAGCGCGCACACAGCAGGAATCCAGGAACGGGTGTAGATCTACCGCCTGATGTAGTTACTTTCGCAACACTCCGCGCAACCACGCACGTCAAGGTCAAAGTCGATGATGGGTGGTGGAATACTCAAAACAGTGAAATCACACTTTGTAGCGTAGATCAGCTACAGTAGTCACAATGCACGAATGAAAACGAGAGGATTGTGTAAATGAGCGGTGCAAACACCACTGCAACAGTTGCCTTTACAGTTACACGGGAGAAATAGACTACACATCTGCTATTTTTAGGCTTCACCGATCCGCAGCTCGGCAATGATCACAACGAAAGCGTAGGCTGAGGTGCTAACAGTAAGACAGGCCACACATCGAGAAGAGCAAGGGCTCCACTCAGATGTGCTGTGCAGGCCGCATCTCACCAAAAGCTCTCCATCACGATCGATCCTGGAAAGAAGAGACGTGGGAAAGCAATGCACAAGAAGAGGCGTGAAACTTCTTTTTATGTAGTACTGAGTCCCCTGATTCACTTGTGAGGTCTGCATTCGCCACTAAGGTGTAAAGGCATAGTGGTGGCCTGCGGAAGCGAAGGCTATAGCTTGTATTGTGTGTTTCTGAACATTCAAGTGATGCTAACGCGGATCCCGCGAATATTATTATACTGAGTCCCACCCATTTTCGTGGCTATGTGATCGCCGCCCTGTTGAGTGTTGGCGTAAAGCCGTTCACCTAATCGGTAAAGCCTGCTATAAAGCCTACTCTTACCTTTTTTTTGTACCAACGCCAATGCTGCAGTGCTGGCTCTTGGTGGGAACTTCCAGGGGGAGAATCCCGGAGATGCCAATCTCAAACCTGCGACTTTCATGTTGAGGGGATTTTCCCCCAGCACATGTCATCATGCCCTAAACTGTTGACTGAGTGTTGTGATCGTGCCCTTTTCCAAACAACTGCATCATCCACCGACGCCAGTGGGTTCCAGTCTCGATCAGCTGATACGTGTAATAACTATTACTTAAATAAGTGGCGGCCTGGCAAACACGACCGCACGCACACGGGAGGGATGCGTGGTGTGTTGTTGAATCATCCATGGACCATGGCACGATAATGGCCAGTTTTGTAGCTGATAGCACACCAAATTATTTCCCGAAGTCCTTCCAACAGTACCGAGTACTTGCAAGAACTAACCGGGTACTACTACTACTAGTATACTCAAAATAATCGAGAATAACCATGGACTCAGAGCGATGTACATTGTACATAGAGGCATGAAGGTGGAAAAGGATGACTGAAGAACCGACCCGTGGAATGTTACACTCCGAACTGGTGAAGTCCTTCTCCAAAGGTTGTGATTACTATTCTTTTGCCAGTTTTGGCGTCCAGTGTGAAGACGCGGTATTATGTACTGCTCGAGCCTTGAAATGAAGCATGCCAGACCCAGGCCTAACTATGACAGGGACTTGACATTCCCTGGCCTGGGCCCTGCTAGCTGCTGCTGCATGGTGCTAACTAGAACCATTAGCAACAGCATCCAGTCATGCAGTCGTAGTCACAAGACCTGACGGCGCTACCTTGTAGGGACAACTAGCTAACCTTACTTCTGACGGCTTGTCGCCACGGCCACAGAGCCTCTAATCTAGGTCACTTCGCCGCGCCACGCCAGCATTCAATCACAGCAAGGGTGGCTGCTAAACTATTCTGATTACAATTCAAGTACGACATGAATCCTCGGAAAAGATACAAAGCAAACGAACCTCACCCACCGTTTCAAGCAAAAAAGGATGAATGGCAAAAGAACGCATTGACCATGTTGACTGAGGCCCAAAACTCAAGAGTAGAGACCTGAATGAAGGGAATGCTCTACACGTCAGACGGCGATGTGGAGATTTGCCTCCATCAATGCAACGACATGCAGACTGCGCTGGCTGCTAGATTTTAGATTGTCTGGTTTGCCACGCATGCATAGCTTGCGCTGTGATGTAGCAATCATCACTCAATCATGCAAATAGCACTGCTACATGTACAAACAAGCCTCTACATGATGTAGTACTAAAGTAACTTTTAGTTCTGTTGGCTACTAGGGCTAAGCTAGACACAAGGTCAGGAGGTGTACCTGGTGTACTGTCTGTTAGCACAGCTAGTGACTACAATAGTTGTATCACTACCACTAGTACCAGTCTTGTGAGCTTGCTTTACCACCGCACCACACTGTGAAATGGCCAGTGCCCAGTCATGGCTGAAGGCTGTAAGTGCAATGGTGTGGCTATGATCTCTTATCATATCACATGAGTATGATGATGAGGCCGTTCGTCTGCACTGACTGTACCGGTCCGTAGACCATGGTAGACACTACTGCACAGTCTGCAGCACTCCAGGAAAAACACCAGGAAGCATGCATGGCGCTGCGGAAAGAAAGGAAGCGAGACGCTGGGTTGGCTACTTCGGAGTAGTCTCCGTGTTCACCGAATCCGACACTTCCCTTGCAACCTTGCTAGATGAGCACTAGCCATCACTGCACCCATCCAGTGCAACCAGCACAGCGTTCATGTTCAACGTTACGCTCAGTCATTAATTTTACATTTTTAATTTTGTAGGCGCTGTGCATGTGGCTGCGATCCGATATGTTCTGTACATGACCTCCTCAAAATTATTAATACTTCAGTTAATGGGATTATGCGAAATGCAATACACTGTACAGGGATTATGATGATGACCTAAGTCCTTGGTCATCACGGCTTGACCGCGTCATGCTTGCAAAGAAGTACATTAATTTTACTGTAAGCCCCAGTCGGCCCAGTGATCACACTGCTTACTGTTCGCAGATCCATGACCATGTGCTAATCCAACGGTAGAATCCCATCTCCAAATGCCAATAATTATGATCTAGCGGCCGAGGTCGTCATTGTGTTTATATCATTCTCCTTCTCTCGCACCGCCACTCCTGGACACGCAGAAGCACTGCGCGTGAACGCTTCGCCGGTGGGACCATTCTTTGGTGCCGTTGATAACTGCAGACATCTGCACACGCCTCTTGTGTCTCTGACACCATGGCTTTGTCTTGGTCTTCCCCTGCCCGTCAAACGTGCAACGCTATCACAGAGCGTAACAAAAAAATCTCCGACAGCTCTTTTTTCAGAGTAAAGATAATCACCATTCTACCACAAGAAGTACCAGCCTCTCCTCCCTGTTCTTTGCTTGGAAGAAAAATATGCTGATGGGGAATACCCTGTCGAAATGAGACACGTGATTATTGGCGCCGCATAGACCGAGGCGCACTGGAGCTGTTGGAAGTACATGTAATGACACTACAAGTAGTGACGTCTACGATGTAGATCTACAGCACAATAAATGCAATTTGATCCTAGAGGACGGTGGCGTTCCCACGGCGGATGTGGAAAACTCGGCTTCCAGCCGAGTCTCACGCGAACCGTGAAATTTTTTATTTTATTGTACAATGACTATGAACATGTACGTGATTGTATGTAATCGAGTACGATTCACTTGTGGGTGAGTCATGGTCAACGTATGCAGCATTTCGATTCCGCAGCGTTTTCTGCTTCATGGCCTTGTTTGCTCAAACGCTTTGAAATAGCCATTGGCGGACTATGCTCGGCCAATCGTCAAATTATGCTTTTGATTATGCCACCATTATGCCAACAAATGTGCTGAATTATGTTCGGTTCCACTATTATAATTATATATACATGTAATATTCACGCTGTCCATAGAGGATCGAGAAACCACGCATACACACACGCGGCCCCAGGGCTTTCTGACAAAGCTGTATGATGCCCTAAGCATAATTTTTGTCTAAACCGAAAGATTATGCCGACCTTACACACGTTGGAATCCGTATAGTATGATATTATGCCCTAAGCATAATTTTTGTCTAAACCGAAAGATTATGCCGTCCTTACACGTTGGAATCCGTATAATTATTATACCGGAGCATAATTTTTTGACGAAATCCCAAGATTATGCCAAATATTATGCCGGCATAATCCGCCACGGGCTACTTTGAAATGAAAGGAGAAATGCACCCGAGTGACGATCATCAACAAATGACAACAATTAGGCACCAGCGGATTATGCCGACATAATTATTGGCATAATTTGGTGGTTGAAAATTTGGAGCATGATTTGGCATCCTTTGGAGGTAGGAGCATAACTACAAGTACATGATTGTACTCTGTACCACAGTTCTAGTATGCAGGCTACACAATTGTGTACAATGCACCTGATCAGTCCTGGTGGTCTGCATGGTAAAGGGCTTGAAGTTGGAGGGCAATGCATGCTGAACATAATAATGACGTATTTCTAATGTTTTGTGACGTATTACAAAATGAGAGTCCTCCGGCTCTGTCCTGTAGTCTTGGACTCAGAGTGTAGAGTGCTCAAATAGAGATAATTATCTTACACACGGCACAGAGCACCACGCATCATTCGTTGTAACTACCGGTAATAGTTTCATGCCCATAGGCAATCATCAGACGTACATGTACATGTATTACATGTTCCGATGGCTTTGTTTAGGCTTTCCCCAAATCGGCAGGGCAGACTTATCGAAAAATCGCTAAGCTTTTCGCCGATTTTGGAGGGTTCCTTTCCGAAAATCTACCACATATTCCAATATCTCACCAATTATTTTGAAGCCAATATGCCAACAATTCTTTTAGTCGATTTTCCAATACATGTACATGTACATGTACATGTACAATGTATATTCCAATTTTGCAGTCGATTTCGAAAAATCAGCTGATTTTGCAGCCAAATCTGATGCATTTTTGAGCGAAAAGCCGAATAGGCGATGTGGGCAAAGTACATGACATTGTACTGCAAAGTGGTACTCTATAATAAATTTAAAGTTTTGCCATCGGACAAGCTCAGGAAGTTCTCAGTGTAGCCAGTACGCCGTGCTTGCTGCCGCGATGCAGAAGAAGCTTTTGCCTCAAGAGGTTGAGTCAACAGCAGCAGAGCAGTTGCAGCAGTTGAAGTCCCTCGTCTCCATCTTCATCGAGATCATACATGTATGCCTGTGATAACGACTGGCTTACCTGAACTCCTTTTCATTTACACTTTTGTCATTAGTTTGTTTTGTTTGTTATGATTTCTTGGTTTTTTACTCGGTTTTCCTTATTATTTGTATTATTATTATTATTTGGTGCATGTTTTACGTTAGCGCTATGTGGTTTATGATTTCCCTTTTTCTTATTTTTGTATTTAGCGCTTCTGGGTGTTATTATTTCCTTTTTTTCATTTTGCACTAAATTATTATTTCTCTTGGCTATTCGGTTTCCTGCCAGTTGGCTGTCTTCCGCTTGATTTATTGACAGTCCCTTCCTCAGATCATAGGCATAGCCTTACCCCATTTTCATGTCCTGTGCAAGTTTTACTTGTCCAGACCATTGCAGACTGCTGCTAGATGCTATTTAATTTACTTGTCCAATAATTGCTCGCATTGAAAAAGCAGTAGGCTCCGGCGGATTATGCT